AAGCTCCTCCCCCTTCCCGTGACGTGTATAAAAGGTATTTTACCCAGTGTGTCAAGATTCGTACTTGCAAATTAAAAAGATATAAGCCACCTGACACATCTTTTATTTCTATATGTTGTAAAAAACACAATTAAAAAAGAATGAAAAGAAGAGAAGCAGAGAAAGAGCGGGAAATAACAATTAGTACGGAATTTTTGTTCAATAAACTTTACTAGCCTTATCAGCCTGTATAATACTTGGTGTATCCATGTGTTGAAAACAGAATACAGTTTTGGAAAAGTTCAAATATTCAGCAGTGGACATAACGCACACTGAAGCTTCTAAAGAACAATACAGAATACAGAAGTTGAATACGTTATATTATAACGATTTTGGAGCCTCAGCACGTCGTTACAGTCCATGTTGCCTCGTCAGTTCATGTTTACCTGACGACCGTGCATTTTGACAATAGCCCTGCAGTATAGTTTCCATTGCAAAAGATTCCATTGGAAGGGTGTTATGTCTAAAGCACACCACTACTCCTTGCTTGCTTTGCATAATCCATCTAGTGTACAAGAACGAAGACGATACTTCAGCACCCGTTTCATTTTAACAATCTGATTGCACAGAAATCCACATTAAATGCTGCGACTTGACTGGTATATCTTCGTAAGGAATAGCATGAATACGTATACCCATTTCATACTCCAGCTGCTTGAGATATGTGACAGTTGAACGGGAGGTATGACTGGAAGCCTTATTGTGGTGAACCCATACCCTGCTGGCTTCGTTTTCAGGCGGAGATTCTTCTTGAGTATGTCGCGTACTGTTGCCTGGTGCACGTGGACGGATTTTGTCACTGACCGTTGTGTTCGTAAGTTCTCACTCTACAAGACGCCGCACCCTTTTTTCCCCCACAGCAAGGGTACGGCTTGTTGTAGGTCTCTTTCTGAATGGTTCTGAAACCCCAAGTTGATCCATATTTATTTGTATTCCAAAGCCATTAAATATAAGGGATCTCCCCGTTTAAGAAATTCTAAGTCCCAGGTCTGAACATATATATTTATGAACTGAGTTATGAACGTTCTGCATCAAAAAGGGCTATTATATAGCCTTCCCAAAAGTGATCAATTTTCGGTGACATCACAAGAAACGCCAAATAATCAAAATGTAGTTATGATACATTCCGTTCCACCGTCTGTGGTTGTCAGTTGACTTGTTAATTTGCATATTAAAAATCGTTTTAATATGACGAAGTCAACCTTCTATAAAACAAGAGCAATAATTGTATTCCCCTAGCACAGGTACTAATGCATATAGTGTCACCTAGACAGGGATCAAACAATGTATGTAGAGCGTAATCACTATGTATAGAGCATAGTGTCATCTTAACTGTACTCAAACAACATATTTAGTACACAGTCGCTAGTGTATCTAGTATCACGAGACAGTGATCAAACAATATACGTAGTACTCAGTTACTAGTCTATAGAGTATAATGGCACCGAGAGAGTGGTCAAACAATATATGTAGTACACAGTCACTAGTGTATATAGCATGGTTTCATCTTAACTGTACTCGAACAGTCAAATTCGTTACGTGATGTGGTTTATAGATAGATATAACGTGTTTAATATAATCGTAAAAAATGATATTCCATAAGTTGTTGGTTTTCCGTCGATGTATTATCATTATCGTGCGAAAACCTTTCGTGTTCACTTGTCATATAGTTTGTTTGTTAGAAGCACTCAAAGAAGTCCGGATGTTTTCAGAGAATTATTTTTAAAACGTAAACAAACATAACTTCTAAGCACGTGTTGCAACATTTTAGTTATTGTAAATAAAGACATAAAAAGTTTCTCAAAACACGTATTCTGTGTTTATTTTCCGTTTTCCAAGAAGAAGATAAAAATATCATTTTATTTGGTTTGCCCCTGTCTACAAACGATATGTGATAAAAGGTTCGTTGTTGCATCAAGGCAAACACTACTTATGTTTGTAGGTCACGTTCACAGTCATGATCAGCAACAAAGAACAATCTCACCTAAATAAAGTTTTGCATGATTTATTGTATGAACCACTCAAAATGTGTTTTACTTACTTTCGCTGTCTGACCACGTGCTAATCTATCTTATGATAAAATAGTTTTTAAAAGTTGGAAGGTAACATTTTGAGTGATGAAGTTTTTATACGTCGAGGTTCAAAATTCAGAATGTCTATATATTTATTGCTCCAATTTACCTTGTTCTAACTGTTAGGCACTTAGCTGACTCACGACAAAAAACATTTGAAACACTTTTGATGTGAGAATTTATTTTCGCGTGACAGGAACCAACAACAAAACCCCAAGTCATTATCAAATGTCAAGTTACTAAAAGCTTTAAAGTTCAACTAGGCAATGGGTAACCAATTAAAATGACTTTTTAATTAATGCACTTTCTTATCACAGAGTTGCTTTAGTTAATTATTTCGTGATTAAGGAGTTGTTCATGTAATAAAGTCACAAAATTCATTGAGGAGTCGAGAATTCTGCGAAAAGCAACAATAAATAACACAAAGGAAAATATCGTTCTGTTATGTTGTTATTTCTTTAAGGTCAAAGAGCAATAGGAACGAGAAACGTAACACGTTGTCATTTTGGAAGCAGCCATGTATAGCATGTGGTGCAACTGGCACTATTGAAGCGAAACAAGAAACGGTATGCGACACCTACAAAGCTGAGAGTCAAGGACCGATAACAAAATAAAACAAACCATTGTTATCAACGTTGTTTCAGTAATGAACAAAGTTGCTACCTATCATGCAGCCTTGCGCGTTTCTTGTTGGATACCACCTTAATACAAAGGGGCAAGTATATAACACAACGGGTAATGTAAAACTCGGTTAGTTCCTCAAGGTAAACGCCTTTGTTGCAGGAATATCAAGCAGTATTTCTTTCCAGGGTGTTACTACGCTCATTAACACGATAAAGCTGCATAAATCAACAGAGTCTGTGTTATTGGTGGGTGTGCTGACTCTGTATTGTTGACAAATCCACGTAGTGTTGTAACTATCATAAGGTATATGACAAATATGTTTATGAATGAACACTGGTTTTGTAGGGTGCGTAAATGAATTCAAGGCGTTCTTTACTTGGATAACAGCTGGAGCGCTAGCCATCTGTTGCATGCAGAAGTCGAGGGAGAGGTTGTCGATCATTAATAAATAACACTTGTGGAAATCCGCCAGTTTTTGTATTCAATTGTTAGGAAAGTGAACTAGAAAAGCTATGCTCACGGGAAGTTATCAGTTCCAGCAAGCAGCGCAAGGCGTCCTGAAGTGGCTACTGATTGGTCGACGAGTTTCAGTGCTGTTCTAGACAAGACTAATGATTCATCACGACAGACACACGTGGTGCTGCGGGCAGCGCTGTTAGCGGCGAGTCCCGGCTTTTCATTGTACACAAGTTGTGTGTGTTCACGGACAGGTGAGCTTAGTGATAGTTCGTTTCATGCATACATTATGTCGACGCTTGATGAAAAGTGCTTGAACTCGACTCTTCTTCAAGTAATTCCCGAAAAGGAAGAAAATATATTTTCTTGGGATAACATTTATCATCAAGAGCAGGATGATCTGGCTGACTGTTTTCTGCATACAGCGCATATTGATGGTGAGATGATAACATACGGAGTCGAAGACCCCAATCTGATCCTGCTATACGTTCACAAGCAATCAGACTGCTTGAGCGATTTAGCTGATTACGACGAGTTTGGAGGGTATCGGTTTCTGGAGACAATTGAAGAAGAGACGTCAGAAGACTTGAAAAGCCAGAGTGATGATAATTGGTGTGTTGGCTATGGAGAATCAAGAGAAAATAGCAATTCTGATTTAAATTATGACTACACTTTACTGGAGCTATCACGCAAAGACCACACTGTTTCTAAACCAAAAAAGAAGGATGTTGTGGCAACCATGGATATTCCTCTGTCACAATCTAACCTATGTTTACACAGTAGTCGCCAAAACGATGGACAGGAATGGGGATTATTACCAACTTGTCAAAGTGTTCAGCAATGGATAAGAGAAAACAGCGATGAGGAAAGGACTGCCAAACCTAACTGTATTTCGGACACTTCTATAACTGATCAAAGTGAGGATGACGACGAAAATTTCTCAGATATGTCAGATGACGACGGATCAGATCTCTCAGAGTTTTCTTCATTAGAACGTGCAGTCCTCGCTGAATTTTCCTTCGAGGACTTTGAAAACCATAAAACTACTGTGGATACACAGAGTTCCACAGATGTCATGATGAATTCAAATTATCTTCATTTGCTTCAATATAATAACTCGCACGAAGCGACATTAAGTGTTAAAGACAGAAATCAAACTTATCCGATAAGCCATGAAACCGAAAAAGCTGATAATAGCCTGTTCTTGGGACCAGAAAATAACACTATGTTCTCAAAAGCAGCTGTTTCCAATTCCCTGGTTAGTGTAGTAGATTATTCTACTGCTGTTAAAAAACAGAGCTGTGAGACTCTATCGGATAATCTTGGAACTTATGCAAACAACAACAAAGGTGTTTTACAAAACTACAATGATAAACTATCATTAGAGAAAAATCGTGATTACCGAAATGAAATTTTTATCTCAGCATTCAGCGATGGAAGAGAACATAATTTAGGAAGATTAGGTTCGCCTGAATTGTTGAAAAAAGAAAGATTTTCAAACTCTAGGAAGATGGCAAAACAACTGAACTGTTCTAACGACTCCAACTTAACGAGATCATTTGAAGGATCCCCGATTCTACAAGGAAGAGAGGTAAGTGCTGGAGAGTTCTGTGATTGGTGGAATCATGAATTCTCTACAGAAGGTTGTTTTGATATTAAAGTACAAAATAGTCTTTGCCAGATCGAAGAAAACGATCATTTATTACACTCTGAAAATAATAAAGACGTTTTAGATGTTCAAAAAGTTAAATCTAAAAAGGAATCCAAAAATATAACCAAAAGTATTACATTTTTCAACAGTGACGTAACATTTAAGTGCACGAATGAAGGTTGCTTCTCAGACGCTAGGGAATCTTTCACTAAAATAGGAGTTACAAATGGCATGAATGAAGGAAATTCAGATACAAGTGTTTCAGTTCCCGAACAACATGTCTGCCTCAAAGACGAAATAAAAAAAATTCATGACGTTAAATTAATAGAACAAAAGGGCGAGGAAAAGAAATGTAAGACATACTCTAATATTAATGAGCCAAAAGACGGCGTGAAAAATATAATATCCCAATCCGAATGTAGCAAAATAAAAATGGCAGTCAATGATTCTTTCTCGCAAGTAAGAAAAGATCAAGAATTTTTTAGTTTCAACACAACTGATACTGAGAGGAAAGTTGTTAGTTATGACTGTGACTCAGGTACTGGCACGTGTTTGGCCCTGAACCCTTGTGATACTCCAGTGTCAAGAACAACTAGTTATTTAAGAGAATTGTTCAATATGCAAAACACTAACGTGAAACTCTGTGCACATAGTAAGGCACGAGCTACTGAAAACATGCCTGGGAACAGGTGGTTACCACATTCCGCACTTCAGGAAGTCTTATTAAGACACACCACTACTGATGGACTATTGATTGAACAAACCACGCAAGCGCCAGCTAAGGAACGCTTCAAAGATCATACATGTAACTTACATGAAAACAATACAGAGTTTAGCGCTGAGGCTGCTTGGAAAGGAAACGTAGGTTTTTCTGATCAGCAAGGTAGCTATGAGCATGACGACTCCAATATTAAATTTACGGTCACAGATATTCATCAGCGTGTAGACAAATGGTCAACAGATCATGTCTTCTCCTGTGCATCACTTACTGATGGTAAAGCCAAAAGCTGTAATATCGATTCACAAGAGACAGACACTTGTTCAAGTGAGACATGGCCAGTCTCTGAATGTCTGCTTCACTCACAAAAACTGAAACTGAACGGAGAAAAGCTCACTTCGAATAACATTTTACCCTCAAATTGTAGTCAACAAAGCACATCGCTTCAAGGTGAACAATGGATGAAACCCTACCTAATCAACAGTTACAGACCAAGTTCAAAATTTTCAAGTGAACAGGAAAATACAGAACTGAACAATATTTTAGCTTTCGAAAACCACAGGGATACAAAAGGTAAGACTGACATCACTAAACCGATAATTTGTCGTGCTTCCGGAAAATCTAGGAAAATAGCCAGTCAGTCAAAGAAGGGTGAAGATAAAAACAGGAAGATCAGTGAAATTATGGAGCAAAGTATGACAGAGAATACAAAAAAAGGAGAATCACCTAAGGTAGACAATGGGGGAGAAACTCAGGATAAAAGTAAATGTGAAGAACAGGATCTACATCCACTAAATATGTTGTTCAAGGAAGGAAGAAATGGCCCAGAGAACCCTAAAATTGGATTTATTCAAAATCTCAATCCTTTGCGATACGACCAAAGAACATATGATGGAAAAGGAGGATGTTTAAGGACAGAAAAACAAGATAGCAAGATAAGAAGTAGTGAACACCAAATAATTTCACCGATAGAGTACACCACTGTGAGCAGTCAGCAAGAACATGAAGAAATGAGAAATGTATGTCCACCTCTGGACGTATCGTTTAAACCAGATGTATCTGAGAACGAAAATTTGGTAAGTGTTGATGACACATTATTTAAGGGTAAGCATGTCTTAACATCATGCGTAACTTTTACTCCACAGTATGGAGAGAAGGAATATGGTGGTATGTCAAGTAAATTACTTTTAAGAATTTCAGACCAGGAGACCAATCATAATAATGAGAATGCAAACACACCTTATAATAACAGTGCTTTAAGAGATGATAAAAACAAAGATGTTTCCCAAGGATTAGTAGAACCTCAGTCATCAACGTGTCATGATCATAGTTACCATAGGCATCGGCACACTGAAAAATATTTGAAAAATACTCATTTCTACGACAGTGAAACTTGCTCTGCTCTTAAAACTGTAACCGTCAGATCTAACATAGATCGAAAAAAAATTAATTATGTGGAAAGTGAATCAATACAATCACATCATCGCAGCGATGATGAAAAACAACGTAAAAGCGATGATTTAACGATCGTACTTAGCGGAGTAAACCGTGAAGTAGCACAATATGTGGCGCCATCTCGTACGATTCACGATAACTGCAAAACTAATTTAGACGTTGTAAGTGAGGGTGTTGAAACACGATCCTTACAGTATCAGAGTGACCTTCATGACCCTACTCTGCTGCGTGACTTTCCCCCTTTGTGTAGGAAAGTGAACGCTATGCCAAGGAATGCATGGTCTTCGGAAGCACTCGTTTCTGACCGTGTAGAGAATAGCACAGATGCGTTTCTAAATCTGGGACGTCTTTGTGCCGCTGAGAGGGAGGACTTAGAGCCAAGCCCAGTTGAAGGGAAGCCAGGAAAGTATACACCAGCAGCTGCAGGCGTTCAGCCTACAAGTAGGAATTTAAAGAAAAGTGCTAGTGGTGAATCGAATGACTGGAAGAAATGTAATTCTCCATTGACAACAGCCATCACTTCTTGCTCCATAACTTCAAGCTCTCAAATAGAAAAAGACCGTATTGTCGATAAAGTGACTACTGATGTCATAACTGCCTCAGCCAGCGCCTCTGTTGAAACTAACAACCCTCGACGGTCTCTAACTCGCGTCACGTCTCGAAGAGAAACGTGTGCAAATGCTCCAAGCCATATTTTGGTTAAGAACAACCTTCTGGCGTTTTCACTACCAGACGTTTCTAACGTTCTGTTCACAGTAACGAACAAAACAGAGAAGTTATGTGGTTTGTCATGCCAAAAAATCTCTAAGTTGTTGGATGCGAGCTTTGATGATGCTTTTCTAGTTATCAGCAATTTCCATAGGTTTAAACATCTCCGCAGAAGCCATTCTGAGCCAGCCTTGCTCTTCCAAATTCCTTATGTATATGTGAATCCGAATAAAGGTGATGTAAAGACAGAAAAAGAAATTTCAAGGAAGTTAATCGAGGAAAAACAAGGTAATAATCTAAAACATTTACAAGATAGTTGTAACAATATGGCTGAAAAGTACTTATGTTCTGATACTGATAATGTAGGAATAGATTGTAGTTTTGAGAATTGCGATAAATCTGGTCAAATGCCACCAAAGTCAAGCAAGGATAAACAGCTACAAATAAAACAACCAAAATATCGTGAATTTTCATCCCTGAAAATGTCTAACATAGCGAAGTCATTTCAGCGTGAAGAGGAATTAGCTCAAGAACCAATATCAGTTGGTAGACAAGTTGTTCAAGTTCATGCGTCCGTCGTCCCTTCTTTTACTAAGTCTATAGTAAAACTTCCAAGTGGACTGACTAAACCAAAACCTCCGCCAAAACCAGCTCGTTTGCTAACCATTGGCAAAGCACGACAGGTTCGACCGCCGAATTTGATAACAGAAGGTTCGTCATTTAAACATAGTGGTTCTATTTCCATTAATACCAACTCAACTGTGACGTTGGCAGATGTAAACAATCGATTATTGTCGCCTAGCAACATCAATAAGGTGTCTGATGTTACCACGTGGAAGTATGGTGGCGAAACTAGTCGCCCCAAGGCTGTAACAATTGTGATTCCAACCGACAAAGTTGAAAATGATAATGTCAATATTGTGACTTTAACTCCTGAACCAGAGCATAAATGTTTAAAAGAAAATGAAACTGAACTTCCTAACCCGAACTTTGTCATACCTCTAGAAGAACAAAAACCACCCTGTAACCAGAGAAGTGTAATAAAAATGCATTCACAAACCCGAAGATCTAAGGAGAATGAAGATAAATTATCTTGTATAGAGAATAGGTGTGGAAGGAGTGTTACTCCTGAGTATCCTTCATTAATTCATGCAGAGAAGAAACTTTCTCTTCCATCATCATCTCATAATTACATCTCCAGCAGTTTAACATCTACACATTCTAAAACCCAGGAAAGACAGGGTTTCATCAGCTCAAGAAATAAAGTCGAAAGAAACTTTAATTATTTACTGAATTTGAAACCCGTCGCTGAATGTCAGAAACCACGAAATCCAACATCTTTATCTCCTCTTTCGTCACCATTACCTCAGGAAGGTTCTGCTGATAGAATCGAGCGTATTACTGGCTTTAAATCTGCAACAAAAGGCAATGCTACAAAGCCACCACTGCCACCACAACTTCAGAATGTTGGATGTGATAGAACACACTTTGGAATAAAGGGTCGTATTGCTGTTGCGCGGAAACAGTTTTTAGACACTGTTCAGAGCAGTGAAGGGATTGTGTCTGATAATGTAAGTCAAGATGTCAATAAAGAAAGGTTTAAATCTTTCCGACGTTCTACTGAAGTGGAAAGAGCCAGACTTATAGGGAGCACTCCGAATCTTGTGGCTCTAGAAAGGTCAGCACGCAGCAGTAGGAGACATATTGATCGAATTCTAGCTACTAAAGGTCCGAGTCAGCAAGAAAGTAGCGCAGAACGCAGTAGCTCTGAGCCTCATCGGCATACAGGTGACTCAAATGTCGTCTGGCCTTCTTATAATCAGAAACTGGCTCAATATAAAGAACGATGTGAGCTGGAGAAAACACTGAGAAGAAGAAGCAAGAGCTTGGGTTATTTAGAAACAGATATTGACACACTGGAGTGCAGACAAGTGTGTGAAACAGATCTTGATAGTTCAAGCCAAGAAAATAGTTTAAATAACGAGTCTCACGCTCACAGTATGCTTACATTGGGTGATCAGGGCCAAATACATTTTGCTAGTGGCATGGAAGACAATTCAAGAGCTCGAAGCATGGATTTCCTGTTGGATGATGATAATAGGCTAGCTGCTTTACCTCCAGAAAATACATTGAATACTAATAAAACCAAATCTGAGCACGAATTGCGTATAGAGAGGTCTTTGCAAAATTTGAATGTCCCAGAATGGTATAGAACCTCTCCTTGGAGTAAACTATCACAGGAACGAACGCTTTTGAAGAGAGACGAAGGAACACAACGTCCACGGTGGGAGGGACTAGGATCAAGAACCACATCTTCGTCTAGCCTAGCGTCCACTAGTTTTTCAGGTAGAAATTTGACAACCCCTGATCAAATGAACACTGCTGACTGGCGTTATATGGGTTCATTTCGATCATCACGAGAAAGTCTGACAGGAGCTAGTACAGATTCAGTGTCTCCTGCTGATTCATACTCATTGTCCAGGTGGAGTAGTTCTCGCTTGTCGTCAACTAGCGCTCCTGTATCAGGGTGGCCAGCTTACCGTTCTTTTAAACAACCTTACTTAGGATGGAGAGCAGCAGCTGGTCTATCTCCTGGCAGCAATCTTTCAGAAGCCCCTTCTCCAGCTCTGTCAACTCCAGTAACCACTAGCCGACCTGTATCGCCTGGTCGGAGCCTCGGAGAAGGTCATGTAGCTACTTCCCATTTAATGGACAAGCCCGAAACACATACTTCTCCACATAGTCAAATAGTAAAAAATGTGGAAAAAAGTAATTTCTTTACAAACCTTAACGAACAACTGAGTAAGTATGGTCACTTTACTGACATTTTGGAACAAATAAGTGATCATACGAGGCCAGAACAGGCCCCTCCCCCGACGAATCACCCTAAAGGTGACACGGAGGCGAGAAATAGCCAAAGTGGCTCGTTGGAAAAAGCATCTCTTTCTTCCTCTTACATTAGAAAAGTTAGTCAAAAGTCCTCAGGATCAACTGACAATGGTTCTCCCCACTACCAGATAAGAAACTCGGATGAAAACGACTCCACTTTCCGAAATTCTTTAATACGCCTTTATGACTCTCTAGTAAAAAGTAGCGAACCCATCAACGTATCTGTGTCTGTAAGTGACCCCAGCAATTCACTTTATCAAACATTTATTACTGATAGTCCAGTTAGAGAGAACTCTTACCAAGAGTATAGCAAGCAAAGAAATTCACAAGAGAAAGATATTTCTTTGTCACAACAAATCCCTATAATTCATAATTCACCTTGGAAATGTTCTGTTGACAATGGAACAGATCATTCTCAATCCGCTTATCTAAACGAAAAGGAAAAAGAAGAAAATCTTAAAGTTATCACTACGAATTTAGATTCCCAGGTTGTGAGCTCTAGACTTCTGCAAGAGAATGATGAGCCCCAGGTTGTGAGCTCTAGACTTCCGCAAGAAAATGATGATCCTCAGGTTGTGAGCTCTAAACTTCCGCAAGAGAATAGTGAGAAACGGAAAAATGTTCTGAACGGTTACCGGGGAGAAATTGAAATGGCTTTGGAAGAACCAGACACTTTACCGACATTTATTAAGCAAAATATTCATGATAAGTTCGAGAGTCCGCATGAGCGTGACCGCGAGGAGGACACATTTTCGTATATTCAAATTCAAAGTATTTGCAGCGGGGATTCTATCATTGACAAAGAGTCAGAGAAAGACACTAGTACCACTAGTCCTAATGTACCACATTCTTCCTCTAACACCAACCAAAACCAAAACTCTTCCTCTCCACAGCATGTAATGTGGATGGAGTCATCATTTGTAGGATCAAGACCAACTACGTCAGTGGTAGTAATGCCTTCCAACGAATCACCTGCCGAAACAGCCAGTGAAATATGCAATGTGGATGGTGATAAGGACAGTGTCCAGAATCATAATGGTAAGTATAAATATTTATGTTATTATGGTAAGACAAATGAAAAATCTGAATATACTATCATACATAGAACCTCTAATAAGAAATGTTTGACTTTCTTCAGATTATGCTTATTATTAAAATTTACTTCAAATTAATAAAAGTGATATTAGTAAAAGTGAAATGCACTTTAGTGAACACAGTTCTATAGTAGCATTTAACGAAATATAACGTTTAGCTTAACTACAATACAGCTTGAAAGACAAATGAATATTAATTTTGATCAATATCAGATTTAGATAATAGTCATGAAATCATCAGTTCGATAATTTTGCTGTTGGCGATGTTTTAATGAACCAAGTTTTTGTTCATTTTCGAACTTTTTGATTGTATATCATTTTAATTAACCGTTTACAACATCTCAAACTGATCTATCTTATTATTAACAATTAAATTTTCCCTTTGCATGACTTATAACATATGTTACTAAACTTTGATAATATGCTTGATAATAAATAACCCAAAAACTAAAAACAGCACACTTTCATGACTTTCAAGACTGATAACATATGAAAGTTAAAAACCTTCTTTCTCTTAAGAACAATGGATGTTATCAAGAGGATATAGAGTTTAAATATAGCATAAACAAACGAATAAATGCAGAAAAGACTAAAGTCACATTTGAAAAGTATTACGAACTGCAAAAGACTGTATAGAATCACTTTTGGGAAGTGCAACAAAATTTAAAAAACCTTGTAGTATTATTTTAACCAGCTCTGTAGAAAACGTGGAGAAGTGCAACGAATAGTAAATGACTATGGAATCCCTATTTGGAAGTACTATGAACTGTAAACGACAGTGTAGAATCATTTTTGAGAAGTGCTATGAAATGTAAATAGTTTTGTTGAATGAGTTTTGAAAAGTACTACAAACTGTAAATGACTATATGGAATCACTTTTGAAAAATGTTAGAAACGTAAAAATACTTTTCAGGAACAATTTTCAAGACCACAAGCAACTCCAAATAAATGTTGTTTGTCGTCTTAATTGAAAATTGTTTCCATCCTTCAGTCAACACTAAAAATCTTTAAAAAGTAATAAAAAACTTTATATAATCACTTTAAGGAAGTGCTACTAACTGTAAACCACTATACAGAATCACTTTAAAGAAGTGCTTCAACTATATAGAGTCACTTTTGGAAAATACTACGAACTGTAAATAATTTTATAGGACTACTTTGGGAATTGTTACCGTCTCTAAACAGCTTTACAGGATCATTTTTGTGGAGTGTTACTTACAATGATTGACTATATAGAATCAGTTTTAGGAAAGAACTTTATAGAATCCATTTTAAAAAGTACTACGAACTGTAAGTGATATGTGCGGTAAACGACTGTATAGAATCATTTTTGAGAAGTGCTACGATCTGTAAACAGCTTTATAAAGTCATTTTTGAGAAATGCTACGAATTGTAAATGACTATTTAGAATCAATTGTGGAAAGTGCTACGAACTGTAAATGACTATATAAAACCAATTTTGGGAAGTGTTGTTAACTGTAAACGACTATCTAAAATCATTTTAGGGTAATGCTACAACTATATATAGTCACGTTTGTTTAATGTGTTGCGATCTCTAATTGACTATGTAGAATCATTTTTGGAAAGCACTGAGAATCTAAACGACTTGATAGAACTACTTTTAGGAACTGGTATGAATTGTAAATGACTTTATAGAACCACTTTTAGGAAGTGTTACGAATTGTAAACGACTATAAATGCTACAGCTGTATATAGTCATGTTTGGGAAGTACTACAAAGTACTAAAAGTCGGGTATCGATACCTACAGTTGGCACAGCACAAAAGGCCCAGTATGCAGCTTTGCAAGGAAAAAAACATTTTAAGAACTTTAACAACAAGTGGATGATAAATTAAGCATTAACAACTTCACAGCGACTTTGATTTACTATTCCATTTTTTTTTTTTTTCATATTTTCAGTACTCTTATCGGTGTAATACACTGTCTAGCTTATTGTAATGAGCAAACAACTTCAAGAAAACGCATAGTGTAGATGCTAAAGTATTCTTTTTTATGTTGTTTAAGTAATTTATTTATAGTTAGTTAGGTCATAATTTCGTAGACTCTTCTTGTCCAAATATAATATTCACCGTACAGTAAGGTACATAGAAACCAATAGGGACGAATATCCTGTTGGTACAAAAAGTACTCTTCTTGTCCAAATATAATATTCACCGTACAGTAAGGTACATACAAACCAATAGGGACGAATATCCTGTTGGTACAAAAAGTACTCTTCTTGTCCAAATATAATATTCACCGTACAGTAAGGTACATACAAACCAACAGGGACGGATATCCTGTTGGTACAAAAAAAAATGGAAGTTAGCCAACATGTAACGTTCCGCAGAAATAAGGGATCAAAATAATCTTAGGCAACTCAAAGTTTGAAACGACAAAAAAAATGAATGCTGATTAGATGTTTTATGATAATAATAGTAAAACTTTTTTTTATATGTTACTGATCACTAACATGTGACCGAAATTCCAATATAGTTTGCATCTTATTCGTACGATATATATTCTTTGTTTTGTCTTTCCCGTTGTGATTTGTAATTACCACGATATTTATATATATATGCACTAGTTTTGACCGTAAAAATGTATCTCCTGCAAACAATTTAGTAAACTTCAATATAAATATCGATTTTTTGTTTAAAAGTGAAACTGAGCTGCAGTAATATTCGAACCCGGGTCTTTCGTTCAGTAGTAGAGACATTTTCTAGTAAACTAAGCTCCTTCGCAGTTTTTTTTTTTTTCACTTTAACTTATTACGTCCGTATATAATTAATTCTAAAAGTGCTGATAAAAATAACTAATATTATGAATAATGCTGAAATTAAGTTCAGTTTATATTCAAACCGTAAATTAAATTTAGGCTGATACAATAAACTTTCATCGCCTTAAAAATAGCTAATCTGCTAGAAAATCAAAAACATTTTTTTTCCTACTTTGTAAAATCATACGCCGGTGAAAATTAAGAATAATGAAATTATTTGCGAGTTATAGTTAAAAATTTACTGTCTTAGATGGGAGTTTGGCGTGTTGAGCTGCGGGTCCAAGGCTCGAGCTGTGATACCTGTGAACACGCTTCGCACTTTCAACTGTAGGCACGTTTTAAAAGTGACAATTAATTTTGTTATTCGGTTCAAAGAACCACGCAGCCTCTTGTGGAAACGGGTGTTGCTGAATGGTCAGTAGTTCAAACAAGAGGCTCTGTACCTGAACACTAGGAGTCACTGACCTGATCGTTTAGCCCATGTACCGTTTAGGTTTTAAATTCCATCTATTTGTCTTTGATGGACATTGAATATTAGCATACTTATCGTAAAAATTGGGACTCTGGAACTCATGATGATAATAATAAATACATTTATTATCTCAATATAAACGAATTGATTGAAACGTTTGCTCCAAATTATACGATTTTCAGATTTCGAATACAGAACTACTTTAGAAAAGTACTGCGACTATGTAGAGTCACATCTGGGAAGTGCTACGATCTGTAAACAGCTTTATGTGTTCATGTTTGGTAAGTGTTACTATTGTAAAATCTTTGTAGAATTATTTTTGAGGAATACTATGAACTGTACATAAATATAACCAATTTTGGGAAGTGCTATAATATGTAAACAACTATATAGAATTACTCTAGGGAAGCACTACAACTACAAGAAATTATTTTTGGGAAATGCTACAAACTGTAAACGACCATATAGAACCAATTTTGGGAAGTGCCATAATATGTAAGCGACTATATAGAATTACACTAGGGAAGAACTACAACTACATGAAATCATTTTTGGGAAATGCTACAAACTGTAAACGACCATATAGAACCAATTTTGGGAAGTGCTATAAAATGTAACCGACTATATAGAATTACTTATGGAGGTGCTACTTCTAACAGTGAGTATAGTAGTTGTCAAACATGAGAGAGAATACGTGCTTCATAAATGATAAATTTGACGGGCTATGATCTCAAATAGAAATTGTTAATGTCATTAGCATTTTCCAAAATGTGGAGCTTCCCCTCCACAATTTCAGTTTAGAATTTTTCCTAAAATGTTTATTGTCTCAAGATTTATTTGAAGGACTAAATAACTTTCTTATGATAAAAACACCTCCTTCTCGTACTTTTCAGTGTGTTTGAAACGTTCTATTATACAAGTCATGTAAGAGAACCGATACCGTCAGACGATAAAAACACTAAAAATAGGAACCTCCTTCTCGTACTTTTCAATGTAAGTGACACCGTTTACTACCCGGAATACATAGGTCATGAGAACTGACACGGCTGGACGATGAAAACAATTCTATATTTAATCTTAACGCTCGTGACTTCATAATTTATCTAATTTGAGCAACGGTTCATGTATAACAGCAGGAAGTAACAGATCAAACCTGTACTTAACAGCGTTTTTAAGCTGTTTGGATAGCACAAAGACGCAGACCACCTTGTAGCGAAAGATAAAAACAATAGTCTGGAAGGAGGAAGTTCTCTTTATCAGATAAGTTACAATTTTAAAGAAATGAAGTAATAAACGAGAAAGACAAGTAATATCAGAAACAATAATGAAGGACTGACACAACTGTTGATAACTATTTAAAGTGCACCCAAGAGTCTTTGTGAAAATTTACGGACAGCTTTACGCACATGGCCCTTGCGTAGCTTGGCGCGAAAATTTCAAACCAGACAATCCAACCGGCTGTCTTATTTCCTTAAACTAATACAAAATAGATAAGTGTAGCAGTTGTACAAGACACACACGTGTGAATAATGTTACTGTACAGATTGAAATGCATATTAAACCTGCGCAGAAAGCGTACGAATGGAAAGGACAGTTTGCCAAAAAGAAATAAGCTGAAACTGAAGATCTTCGCAGTAAACGAACTTTTGCACAATTTTTTCTGTGTAAAAACTTGACAATATGGAAGAGCGTAT